CGTTGGCCTCCGCTCTGGAGGCTAACACGGTGCTGAAAAATCTGAACGTGAGCGACAACAAGATCTCCAACGCGGCGCTGCTGCGCTCGCGAGGAAATTGCCACAAGGAAATGGAGTCTCTCCGTGAAAAGGCGGGCAGAAGCAACGTTCAGAGCCTGATGGGCATGTTCGACGACGTTTTCGATGCGGCCGACCTCAAGGGTGGGCGGGTCGACATCGACGAGAGCTACTTCCTCATCCTCAAGCTCTACATCAAGGTGCGACCCACACCAGACGACCCTGCCGCCGCCGTCGCCACCTCTGCCGTCGCCACCTCCGCCCTCGCTTCCGCCCCTCTTGCCTCCCTGCCAGCCCGCCGTCGCCAGCACCGCTGAGCCCGCCGCCGCCCTCGCATAGGTGAACCGGCAGGCGCCCCTCGACCCGCCCAGCCGCGAAGTGTGCGAGGTGCTCTTCCGGGCCGCAGACTGCGACGGCAGCGGGAGGCTCAACAAGGAGGAGTTCCTTGAGCTAATGGCGATGCAGATGGGCCGCGCGATGAAGCGTGTCGACGCGTACAAGGTCAGCACGCTCGTGGTGGCCCCGATCCTGGGCACCTACTTGGCAGCCACGGCCTGCAGCAGCTACGCCGCCGCGCCGAGTGGAGGTCAGAGGCCGCTGTGGGCAGCGTCCGTCGACGGCATGCTGGCGGTGCTGAGCGCAGTGCTGCCCGCTGTCCGTAGCGAGGCTCGTCCCGCGACGGGTGTTGGTAATCGCCGTCGCTGACTTAAGTGGTTAAGTTGCAATCTAATCAATCGGTTTAGGACTTCCTCCGCACGCTGCTGATAACCGCCTTCATCGCCACGCTCGGCAAGACCCTGCCTGCTTTCGACTCCAAGAATGCGTTCTCATCACTAAGGATTAGTTATGAACTATCAGGCAAGACTGTGCTAGCCGCCTTCGACTCCGTTCTCAGCTTCTTCGCCCGGCGCGAGGTAGACGAGTCCGAGCCGCCCGCGACTATGACGGACGCGCTGGCGCGCCGCTGTACATGCCCCGCCGACCCGCGGTCTGCTCTCACGTTCAGCGTTCGAGCGCGTGCTCAGCTGCCAGCCGTCGCGCACTCACGCCCCCTGCGCACTCCACGAGCCGCCCTCGTACTCACCCACTCACCCTCGTATTCGTGGAGAAGTTGACCTTACCCCCCCCGCCCGCCCGCCCATCCGTCCTCTAGGCCGGAGCCGCATCAGGGCTGGTGCAAGGCGCGGCGGACACATCGGAGCAACACATATCGGAGCAACACTATCTCTAGTGAGCAACACTATCTAGAGCCGTCGCTCTTCCAGACTCTGCTCGCCGCATTTGCTGGCGAGAGGTAAGGTAAGGTAAGGTAAGGTAAACTTCTCCACACACACGAGGTGGTGGGGCAAGGGGGGGCAACCCTCGCGTCTCCACGTCTAACGACAGGAGCCCCGCACGGCAGGAGCACTGGGTGAGCGGTGGGGTGTGTGTGTGTGTGTGTGTGTGTTTGTGTGTGTGTGTGTGTGTGTGTGTGTGTGTGTGTGTGTGTGTGTGTGTGTGTGTGTGTGTGTGTGTGTGTGTGTGTGTGTGTGTGTGTGTGTGTGTGTGTGTGTGTGTGTCACGTCACTGCATCCTCTGCCGAGGTTCCTCCCGTCGCCTCTTCTTTGTTCGAATGTTTTTCAATCCACCCTTCACGAAGCCCTCCCTAGGGTTGTCAAACGTTAAAAGAGCTGAACAGTGTTGCTAGTGTTAACAGTAACAACAGAACAACAGTGGGGCTCCCCAGAAAACACGCCTCCGTGGCTCGGGTTACACCAATCCTCGCTACCCAACGCGGCCAAAGGATATCCACCTCGAGAACCTCGAGAGAGAGGGCTCCCCAACAACAGTAGCTTTTACGTTAGGCCGGCTGAACAACAATAGGGAAGGCCTGGCAGTGACCCACGACGATCTCCAGCGTCCAGTGCGGGTAATACCCGAAATACCCGGGAGAACCCAGGTATTCTCGGGGTTTACCCGGGGTTTTTGGCATTTTCTGCTTGCTGACCACTAAACAACAGTAACAACAGTAACAAACAGTAACAGCTTGGGCTGGGGAGAACACTTGAACAATGTTGAGGATTTCAGCCAACAACGTTAACTTTGGGCCCAAAGTTAACGTTTGACAACCCTAGCCCTCCCATGTAGCTAGCGTTCTTTGCGAATGTCTCGAAATGGCCAGCAGGCGCTGACTGCTCGCGGTATGTGCGGGCCGCTCGTCCTCCTCGCCCTTCTTTCGTCCTCCCGTCCCTCCCCTCCACCATGGCCTGCTCGCACGCTGGCGGCGCCGCGGCGGGGCGGCGTGGTGGCGGGCGCATTGGGCGCAGCTAAACGTCGGGCAGTTCGACGTCGTCGAGCCGTGCTGCCTCTGCGGGCGGCCCGGGTCGGCGGGCGAGTTGTGGTGGGCGGGCGCGTGGCGGTGGGCTAACTCGACAGGCCGCTGCGCGGCGCCGTATCTCGCCACCACTGACGATCGGTGGGAGGTGCCTGGCCTGCGCCAGGCATACGTCGCGCATGGCATGTGCGGCGAGAGAGCGCTAGATGGCAAAATTTTCTTCGCCTCCGGCGGGGCCGCTCGCCGCGGGGCTAGAGAGTGACTTTTGTCGATGTCGGCTAGAAGTGCTGCACGTTTTTCAGAATTTCACCCAGATGAGCGCCAATACTTCACGGCGGCCCCCTCGGGGCGCTTGCGGACGACAAAGAAGGTGCGGCCTCCTCCGTCAAGTCCTCCTCTCGCGCAGGCCGGGGTTGAGACACTTGGCCACGTCTTTCCACTCGATGTTGCTGACCGCCATGTGGTTTGAACGCTTCGCTACCCGGCCGCCGCGGGCACCTCGGCGCCGGCATCATCCTCCGCGGCATCAAGGAGATCCGCCATAAAGCAGCGCCCAGCAAGCCAGGGACAGATGACACAGGCGACTTGAGCGCGTATCACCCAAAACTATTCACTTTTGAGCGCCATATGCGCAGGTGATGTCAACATACGCGCCTGCACGTGTGAGCGCTCATATTGACTAATATTCGCGTCTGCATGTGTGGGAGCGTATGCTGACCGCCACGCACCCACGCCGACACCGCGAGTACTAGCTAAGATAGGCGCCACAAGCGTGGGCGCTCATCTCAAGATACGCAGCTACACGTGTAGGCGCGAGCCTTACTCAAGATAAGCGCCCAGACACGAAGACGCGTATCTGGGCTACCTGTATAAGTACGCAGACGCGCATCCTCATGCGTGGGCGCTCGGGCGCGCGCCGCAGTGCACCTCACTGACAGTCTACGCCCATTGCACAGGCGCCTGCACCTTCTTCAGGCACCATGCCGCACCGGAGCGCGACGCGCCCGGCAGGACGCTTCACCGCGAGGCGCGCGCGGCGGCACGCCGCGCGCGCAGGCCACCGAGCACACGCTCAGTTACCCGAGCAGGGCTGCTGTGCAGGCTGAGCCCTGCCTGTTCTGAACATTCAGCCCGCGTGCTCCGCACTGCGCCCCTGCCGCCTCGCGCCTGACACGACGCAGATCCTGCACTGCACGAGGCGCGCGCGTGGCACGCTGCGCGCGCGCTCCGCCATCCGTTCAGTCCGCTGTCCAGTCTGCCTGCACACAGCACAGAGCACATCCACATGCAAGGTACATGTGCACGCCGCGCAGTCCCCGCACAGCGATGCAGCCCGCACCCCGCGACAGTCGCCTGCCTCACGTCGAGCCCGCGCATGCCGCAAGCAGTACTGTGCGCACTGTATTATCCTCGGAATTTCTTGTTTGCCACAAAAAGAAAACAAAAACCCAAAACAAAGACTTCGCCGCGCCTCCTCGAGCTAGTGGAGGCGAGCTAGGAATTCCTATTGCTGTCGTGAAACCGGTCCCGAGTTCGAATCTTCTGGTCCACGTTCGTTTTTGGATTTTGCCAAGAAAGAAAACTGACAGGAAAGAAAAAACACCGCGAGGATTCAGAAAATAAAAGAAAAACAGCCTAACCCCAGTAGGGATAACGCCGAGTGCCAGACCACCAGGGGGCAAGTGTGTGTAGCACCTTCGACCCCGAAATGAAGGTCGCCACGCAAAACCGGGCGCTAGGAGAGGTGAACTGAAGGCTGAGACAACGGAGGCCGAGCCTGAGTGGGCGCCCGCGCGCCCCCACACAGGCAAGCCTCTGTCCTTCGGCCCTCTCCGGCGATCGTCCGTGGGCGACCGCGGACAACACGAGGCTTAATCAATTCCCTCAACACCCGACCCCCCTCTAGGGACAGCAGCGCGCTTCTCATCCCGGGGAGGGAAAAGGAGGGGGGGGGGGGGGGGAGATCAGAGAGCCAGAGCAGGGAGTACCCCCGACGGACGCGAGTCGGGGGGGAAGCGAGACGAGAGATTCAAGGCGAACTTCATCGCCCGTCCAGGAGCCCCGCATTAGGTAGCGACCCCAGGTTCAGAGCTAGGCTTCCCGACAGGGCAGGGAACCCCCAGCGCGCAGGCGGGGCCCACGGTAGCCTCGTGCAGTACGCGATACCGAGAGCTGGGGGAGAGGCGCGCCACGCCAAGGGGGACGAGTGACGGGAGGGGGAGAATAGTGTCTTTCGCAGGGTAAAACGCAATTTTTTTTTATCTTGTCGCAGTACGATCTCGCGAAAGCCGTGTCCGCGCTTTTCCCATACAACATACTGCATACCACCCCGAGCACGCAAGTTATAAAATCTTTCACTTGGTTGCACATATATGCAGTCTGCACGCAACGGCTCTCGGCCACACACCAAACAAAATCGTCACTCCTGCACCACTCTAGAGACAGAGGGGAGCGAGAGATACTATAGAGAAACCTACCTACCTTCACCAACCGAGTGCGCGCTATAGAGGCCAAGCCCCCCGCGACGCCGCCAAAGCTCCAAGGAGGCGCGAGGCTCATCGGGAGACGAGCGGAGCTGGCCAACCCCCCCCCCCCCCCTTCCCCCGCCCCCGCCGCCCCCGCCCTTCCCCTAGCGCTGCCCGCCGTCGGCCGGCAGCCCAAAGTGGTTCGCGGTGAACGCGCGCTCGTCTGCCGTCAGCTCGCTCGGAAAGTCGATCTGCAGCGTGACGCGCAGGGCGCCGTATTCGGAGGGGACGCCGTGCCTAATGAACGAGATATGGGGAGATATGGGGAGATGAGGGGAGATAGTATTCGGAGGGGACACCGTGCCTAATGAACGGACGGATCCGTGAACGAGCCTCGTGGATTGGGGCGCCGTGTTCGGCAGGGGACCAGGGGACGCCACCCCTGCGTCGTGAAGACGCCAACCTCGGGGCGGGAAGACGGGATTGTGGAGTGTGTTCAGAGCACCGCGTGGATGCAAGCGAGGGGGGGGGAGACAGCGAATACCGCCGAACACGGTCGAATACAGCGGAGTAGGGGGGAGATACGGGGAGATGTTCCGCTTCTAGGGACGCCGTGCCGCGGCATGCCTTCGTTGGCAAAGGTGAGCACCATCCCCGGCGTGGAGACCGCGGCGTGCGAGATGAGCACCTCGTGGCCGTCGAGGTGGCGAGATGTGGGAAGATATGGGGAGATGTGGGGAGATGTGGGGAGATAGCACCTCGCCCTCGTGCAGCAGGATGATGGGGAGATATGGGGAGATAGGGGGAGATGTGGGGAGATATGGCGAGATGAGCACCTCGTGGCCGTCGAGGTGGCGTATGCGCCGCTTGAAGCCGAGCAGCGCCTGCCGCGGCGACACAAGGGCCAATCAGCGCTCTACGACGGGCGACGAACCGCCGTTGCGGGAGGTGCAGCAGCGGGAGGGGCCGTCCTTTGCACCACTTGCCCTCTGAACGCCGTGCCCGCTCCCGTCGTCTAGCCGTGGAGTCGCGAGCCCCCCCGCCCCCCCCCTC